TACACACACACACACACACACGCGCGCGCGCGCGCGCACGCATATATAGATCCAAGTATTGAAAAATTGCATTTCCTATTGAAAATTTTGAATTGATAAGTACTGATAAATGAATTAAATAATTACAATTATATTTTTTAATTCACAATAATTTTAGAATTGATGATTGTCTATAATTTTATAAAAGAATAAAAATACGTTCAGAATGAAAAAGATTCTTAAGACTTAATGTTCTCGCGAATGAATTTTTTTTAAAGAACTGAATCCGTTTCAATTCATTCTCATTTACTGAGCATATTTTATATTAAATATTTAACTTATTAAATTCTCAGCAAATAAGCTTATTTGTTGTATTATTATTTGTTCAAATACAAATAATAAACGTTAAAGATGTAATTATAGTTGATGTCAAAATAATGATAAATAATATAATATAATCAGCTTATTTATACGGTTGTTGTATTAATTGCATTTTGATGTTGTGTAATTGTAATATCTATATATTTTATTTATGTAAATTTCCTAATATTTAAACCAAGCTCCACATACGAGTACGAAGTCAACGACCTCGAGACATTTTCTTGAATAATAAGCAATGAAGTAACAAAGATTTAAAAGTGATGTTCAATTTTAAATTCAGTGATGTCATTAATACGCGCTATGACATTATCAAGAAAGGTCGACGATTCCCGAAACATTATTGATTAAATAGCCTTTAAATCACCTTTTAGCTAAATTTTCTACAGTAAAATTTCATCATAATCCATTTATTATAAAATTATCGATATTAATATATATTTTTTAAATATAATTATTTATTTCTAAAGAAATTTAACAAATTTTATATAAATTTTTATTTAAAATAATTTATGTAAATCTCTCTAAATATTTTATCAAATACTTACAGATATTTAAGAAAAATTGTTTTTAAAATATTTACTGACACATATTTAAAGAATAATTAACAATATAAGATCTGATTATCTTATATTATAGCAAAATTATTCGATAAGTTAGTTTTTGTCTTGGGAAAAGATATTTTAATACTTACAAATTTTTAGTTAGTAATGCGATTTAAGTTCTATCATATAATGAATTCATTGGCGTAGCCTCACATGTACCTTCGATAGCTCAGTTGGTAGAGCGGTGGACTGTAGTTGGAAGGATTACGAGCAGATATCCATAGGTCGCTGGTTCAAATCCGGCTCGAAGGAATCTTTTGATATTTTTTTAATGCTTTTTTTTATTAACTTTTATTAAGTTTAAACATATCTTTTAATAGAATACACTATCTCTATTTTTATTTTCAAAATTATTAACATTTTTTTACGAGAATGTATATATGTATATCACATAAACTGTTATAATTTTAATACAAGAGATTATGTTTATATTACTATGTAGATTGTTATTGTTCTTGGAATAATCCAAATGGATTGTTATAAATTTTATTATAAACAAAGTTCTTATTTATGTATAATAATAAATATAAATATTTTTGAAAAAAATATACTTATTAGAGATTTTATGATTACTATATTAAAATGATAAAATGAATATTGATTATTATTAATAATGCCATAGGTTATTATACATACATAAATTTCTTTCTATTATTAACCTGTTTACGTTATATTTAACTTTTTATTGCAACAAATAAAGAGAAATACATTTCAATATGTATTAGGAAATAAACAAAATTTTTTTAACTTATCTGCAATTATTTTAATTTAATATTTTTTAATATAACTGAATATTTATCTTTATTTTATTCTATTTATTAAACAGATTCAACTGTGTTACATTATGTAAAATAGAAAGTCATTTTTATAATTATTTAAATTATTTACAAAATATTTTCTTCAGAGATGTGTGAGTAAACAGATAGACAACAAAGAAAGGGAAACTAAAAATAGTCTTTCATTTATCATTCGCACAGTAATGCATAAAGAGTGATTTCATGATTTTCCAATGATGTATGAAGAATGATTACTTCATGATTTTCCGTATATGAGATATTGATTTCACATCTAAAAAAACACGATCAAAATAAAGTATATGATTAGAACTTCTTCTGATTTGATTAGAAGGCATTATGTTGACAGATTGTTAAACATAGGACTAAACTTGTAATTGTAAAAATTTCAAATATAAAATTGAAATATAAAATATAAATATCAAAAAATAATTCTAAAACGTTCAAAAAATTTTAAGTACAATATATAAAATATTGTGTAAAAATGTGTCTGTTTTATATTACACGAATTATTTCTATGTAAAGAATATTATAAAATGTAATTTATGTAATTTATGAAGTATTAATATAAGATAGTGTTTATTTATGTTATTTATATATATATAATTTAAATATTTCTTATTATTTATTATATTATTTATTTACATATTTTTATATATTTAAAAAAAGTTTTAAAAATAATATGCATATATGCATATAAAATATAATATGAATAGATTGAATTATCCAATATTGATGTCTTATTTGAATAGCGAATTAAGTTATAGAAAAGAATCACTGATTTTTTATCATATGCAATTAAAAAGAAAATCAGAAACATATGAAGGAAACAAAATTATCATTAATTTTGATATGACAATTTTTTTTTGTAAATGAATCAAGTCTATGAATTTCTCATCATATTATTTGGCGTGCTATTGAATCTGCGTCATACATATTTGATGCTTATCCATTTATCTATTTTGGGGATCGAAGTTTTGCGAGGGTGTGCCGCTCTTTTTTGTCTAATCAGAGCGAAGTGAATTAACTCCAACACGAAACCGCGCCTAAATATTGTTCGTGTCTCGCGAAGATCAACGATCCTTTTTCACATAAGTTTGACCCAGTCAAATTAAATATCGAAAATTAAAAAGCCGATACAAGTCATTTATATCTTCTCTTATCGATTATATTATAATAGAATTCATCGCGGCAAACACATTCTGACCGTTACGCAACAAGTTATTTCTCGACTTTTTTTTAATTATAACTTTTTAAATATTCCAATCGCATATAAACTTTTAAGAAACTTATTTGCAAAAAGAAAATTTTTCCCAATTAATTTGATTTATTTCAAATAGCTTGATACTCTACAAAATTTGAAAGAGTAATTATTATTTCATTTTATATATACACAATGTAAAAAAGATAATATTTAAATATTTTTAAAAGAATTTTTAATTCTTAACGAGAGTAATAATAATTTAATTATTATCTCTTTTATAAATTATGTCATCCTAATTTTTAGAATTTTCTACTTAATTTAATATATTTGCTAATTGTAAGATATATATATATATAAAGGTTATATATGTATTTAAATATTTATAACAAAACGTCTAATTAAAAGACGATTCATTTTCATTCTCTATTATAATTAACACAATGATTTATTATACTTAATAGTTTATTACACTTCTTTAAAAATTAATAAAATTTTCTAATAAGTAAAATTAAAATAAAATCCGCAAAAGAAACGTATAATTTTACTCTTTTAATTTATCTGCTATTAGAAGGATAGTAAAATCATTCCAGAACGGACATTATACATATATTACTATTAATTCTATATTTAGAGTATATACCAGATTATCACTGTTGTGTACCATTTATCACTGTACTATATTACTAAACATCTGTAGATTAAACAAAATTAAATACTTTATTAAAACATTATACTAGGAAAGTATGATAGTAAAAGAGTGGATCGTAGGATTTATAATCAAAAGACATAATCTTTAAATCAGTTTAATTTTACAAATATAGCAATGATACCGCATAGAGAACATCGCGTCTGCGTTGTTCACGATGCGAGTAGCAATTCTAGACAAATACGTGCTGCCACCCTTTTGACGTCCGACTCGAGACTCTCGGGGGTGGCATAGCACGAGGGATGGAAAGGCGTCAACGATATATCGTCGCAATGAGACTTATCCGTGAAAACAAAAACACTATATAACCAATGACGTACGTGCAAATATTTATCACGTGGAAGTTAAGATAATTATGACCGAACACAGAATCGAGAATGTAATGTTATTTAATTGCGTTATTTAACTACAAAATCGATAATTTTATCATCGATGATTAAGTGGGATTAATTCATTGAATAAACGTTTGCAAATATTAACTACTTAGTACAATTGTGTGTGTATCAATTATATTATAATAATATATGATATACTAAAATATATTGTAATTATTACAAAATAAATATTCACTAGCGATTATTAAAATATCATGTTTATTCCTGTTTTATTTACTTTGGTAATAAATGTACAAGATAGTGTGTGTGTTTTGTTTTTGAGGAGAAAAGATAAGAGTAAGAATAAGGGTAAGAATAAGAGAAAGACAGTTCAATATATTATGCGCTTTGAGATGGTATCCTCAAGTGTAAAAAACGCAAATCAAAGAGACAGAGAGAGAGAGAGAGAGAGAGAGAGAGAAAGAGAGAGGAATAATTCTTTAATCTTAATTCTTTGGTAATTTATAAATTTAAATTTATGTATATATATGTATATATATATGTATAAATATAAATTTATTTTAAAAAGATAGATACATTTAATTTGATGCATATTCATAATTTTATATATATACAGTATGTATAATATATGTATATACATATGTATATGAATTATATATAAATATTTTTACAGCTAATTATATTAATTTTTATTATGATAGAAAGTGAGATATTTTTCTTCCAATTATGTGTATGTACATATAATGTTTAAGTTTATATTTCTTTTATTATCTTTATTTGTGTATTTATGTATTCTTTCGATTCTCTGCTTTTAAAGCTTAGATATGTCGAATGAAACTGTTAAATGTGAGAAACACTTATAGAAAGTAATATAAATTTTAATACAATATGAACGTGAAAAAATATAAGATGATAAGAAAAATTTTCGAAAAGATATAAAAATTTCAATCGTGTGTTTTGTTCTGTGTAACTTCTGCGCCTATATATCTCTCACCAGAATAGACGCATCATTTTACTTGGAAACGTTAAATTTTATGAATTACATCGATTTCGAGATACGTCGATGTGTGAATAGAACTAAAGAATTCATGACTCATTATTTTATTATATATATTTATACTCTCTTATTGCCACCTTTTTTTAGTCTTAAATCCCGATTGTACTCTGATACTATCGTGAGCACGATTATCCCCAGCGGCGGCGCGGCGATGATGGCGCGCAGTCGTGGCGCGTCATCGAGTAGTGCGCTTGTGCGAGCCAAGGACGGCGGAGGTAGAGAGCGACGACGTAGACGTGGTCACCATCGAGGGGAGTAAGGAGAGGAAGAGAGAGAGAGAGAGGGGGGAGAGAGAGCGAACGACATCGTCGTCGAAACCGTGGCGGCCGGCGCGGTGCCGTAGGAGCGACAGGGGGTTGACGGTGCGGTGAGGAGGTGTCAGAGGGCCGTGAACGCGTCCGCGGGTGTCCGGCGCTCTTTCTCGCAGTCTGATGCCGCCGGTCGTAACAACGGGTTCACGCGTGTACCGTCAGTCCGGAACATAGTTCGGAGCGTAGTCGCGACGGCTCTCAGGGGGCGAGAAGAGTTCGCGAGAAGAGAAGAGTTGCGCGATCGGATCGAGTCAGCGTAAATTCGCGAAAGGTTGAACGATCGAGCGGAAAGGTTGAACCGCGCAAGCGGAATCGCGATAGCGTGGAGCAGCATAGATTCGGTAGCTTCCACGAAAGCGCGACCGAGTCGCGATTTCACGAAGGCGCGACCGAAGTCGCGTGAGGATCGCCGCAGGAATTAAGCGGAATTGTGCGAAATCGCGAAGGAAACGTATTTATGCGACTTCGGTGAGTGAGTGACAACTCTCGGAGAAAAGCCAACGGAGCCTGTAGGAGAGAGTGGGCGATCATCGTTCGATGCCGCCCTGGCGCCGTGAACTGCGGTGGTGAACCGCAGTAGCAAGATCGCGCGAGGATGAGCGATGTCGGTCGATTGTCGCGCGTTGTAACGGACAGGTAAGAAGGATTACTCCAGGAGGCATCACACCTCGTGGTGACACTGCGACAGGACAGTTATGATCGCCGGTGACCCACCACCTCCGGTCTACTCCGATTTTCGTCACGTAATGGCGTTGATTGGGGATCGATTGAATGTGTTGAGGTGTCTGCAGCTTGATGCCTGCCAGCCTGCCCCCCGTTTACGCTTGTCGAGGAAAGGGTGCAGGTTCTGAGTCGTTCGACGTGGACTGCTGCTGTCCAGGCCGGTAGCGGATCGATTTTTAGCGAGGGGTGAGGAGCAAGAGGGTGAGGAGCCGAGCAAACGAGAAGCAAGCGGAAACGGGGGCAGGGGCGCATCGTGTGCGTGGGTATAACGATGTGTATGTGTGATGTATATGTATATATATATATATATAAAGTATATTTATGTTGTATGTGGGTGTGTAAGTTTGGGGGTGACTTCGAGACGGGTTCGTCAGCAGGATGAACTGATCGGGGACAGATTGAAAAAGAAGATCTCTCGAGCACCGCTTCGAGATGATCCCGTTTCTGTTCCGGAGTTGGAGATCGACGACTTCCGGTTGTCCAATCTCGCTCTCCCGAGAACGGGAGAATGACCAAATCGCGGGATGACTTACTGTCGTAGTAATTAGTGGATGTGTAATACCTAACGAAATGCCGTATGTTTCGCTGACATCTGACTTTCTAATGGAGTCAATATCAAACGTCTCGAATTGAAATTGTACTATTTCTCCAAGAGGGCGGGTGCAAGTAGTTAGTATAATGCACGCGCCATCCACTATTGCGCTACAATCACTTGGACTTACTCCATAACCGCACCTCCCGAACTACTTGCAGTAAAATCAGATATAATTATTGCAGGTACATTTCGTAACAGAGAAATCAGAACTAAAGATTGACTGCAATCGTGCACATCAAACATGAGTCAACTATTCTAAATTTGATTTATGTCCATTTTTATTAGATAATTTTAATCTCTGCAGTTCAACTTGCTCTTTATTTTTCTTTAATAATTTTTTTAATTTTTAAAACTAATAAAGGATGAAGAGTTATTTGAGTCGAGATTGAAATTAAACTACATTGATAGAAACGAGAATTATAGGCCCGGTTTCACCACCGTAAGATTGACTTTAACCTTCCATGATCCAATATTTTCTTCACTGTTCTCCTAGTTTAACTGGATCACTGGTGCTTGATTGTATTTTTCAAAGGATTTTCGGACTCCAAAAAAATCCGAAAAAAATTCTGGTACATTCTTTCAATATTCAAGAATATGATTTTTTATAATAATATGATACAAAACGTTTTTCATTTTTTTTTGTACGTGTCCGAATTTGAGGCAGAATAATTCAAAGTTGAAAATTCTTCAAAGCCATGATTCGATAATAGAAAGTTAATCTTGATTCAACTTTTCATCATTTTCTAATGTTTAGATTAGAACTAAAAAGATGAATAGTTAAATCAAGAATTCAATTAAAATTGAACTACATTAATAAAAACGAGCATAATTCTTAGAATTAGAAAAACGTAAGTACAGTAAGTTAAATTGAGATTAAAGTTAATTTTACATTAGTAGAACTAGGTTGATTAGTTAAATAGTTACTAATGCCAGATATTACATATTATGAAGTTTCTTGATAGTTACGATTAACAATCACTGCAGTTATGTAGAGTTGAATTATTTTATGTATTAAGTGTGATAGAATTTACCCAGGATGATTTCACATTCAATAGATACTCACGCCATTATAATCCTATCTTAAATTCGTCTGTTTCCCAACGATTCTCGTTGAGAATCTCGGAATTGTTTCAAGCGACATCGAGCTTCATCGTGTTATCTTCGAAATACGCGATGGATTCGTATATGTGCATTTATACTCTTATCTGTGTAATAGTAAGAGATATCAAGGTATGACATCAGTTCACTCCTTCGTATAGACTTTCATTAAGTATTAAATAAGAAGAAAGCAAAAGGATATAAAATAAAAAAGGATTAAGAAGAATATAAAAAAATTGTGAATGATATTTTCTAAAAATAATGAAAATAAATTATTGAATAAATTGATTTATAGTCGTTTGATTTAAAAGCTTGTAATTTTATAAAAATTACGAGCAATTAAAGCAATGTTGTAAAAAATTGACTCTTTAAAAATATTACAGTTCAAAAAGAGTTTATTTAACAAAAACATCGATCAAAACATAGCTAATTGTATAAGAAAAAAAAAGTAATTAGATATTCACCTTGAGTAATGAGAAAAAATAAATGATAAGTTTTTTTTTATGATTTTACAAACCCTTTCTTTAAAATTATGATATAAATAGTTATCACAAATAAAAGAGTTCAAAGCAATGCTATATTTTTTGAAATGAAGATGATAATATTAAAAATACAACAATGTTTGCTCTAAAAATAATAATCGCGATACTCGAACATTTTTTTAATTCTTATCTGTCACTTATCGATTACTCATACGTATCGCTAAATTAATACTAAGAAGGAAAGATTCATCATTTAGATGATGCCAAAAGTTTTATTCGAAAAAATAATTTATTATTGATAACGATGTTCATTCAAGGATTCTTTAAGAATTGCAATTTATTTGATATCTTTGATACACTTTCTTGATGACATCATTGACAAAGATAAAGATAAGTTTGTAAACTCTCGTGCAATCAGATACGTCTAAATGACACGCAAACTGTATATAATTCTCTGAAATCTTCTTTCAAGTTATCGTGTAATAATTGCATATAATATGATGATAATTCCAAAAAATTGTAAATATATTGGATTGATTATGGATGAATATATTGGATGAATATATTGGATGATTTCGTTATCTGACATCTTGAAAGTTAGATGTTCGCTACTTTTGCAAATTTGCTTAAAATAATTTATACAATAAAAAACTAATATATTGTATCACGAAATGAACTACCAGCTATCTGCGTTTTTTTTCTCTTTTTATTAATGGACTCTTAACACATTACTGATATCACTGACAAGAATTTTCTTATGACTACTTTGATTCTTGATAAAAATGATTCGCAGCGTATTACACGGAATGAAAAATACGATATTAAAATACGATATAAAAATTATAATAGTATTGTAATATCATGTACATATTTTTGGTTTAGAACGATGTTGATATATTCAGACTACATTGAAAATGACTCGATTGAAGTCGATTGAAGTCGTTTGTTGTTAATTGTAATTATTTTATATGAATTGTTAATGCTAATTTAAATTAAAGTTCTTTTATACATTAATGCTCTTTGCCCTTCTTTTGTTCTACATTGTTTTATACGTATAGAGCCTTATTACTATTTATTAAGAATATATTGGAATTGGAAAAATGAAATTGGAAGAATCTAGATGACTGGGAAACTAATTTTACTAATCTTCATTTCATACTCCTTGATAGTCTTTTATTTGTCTTTATCTGATAATTAGCTCACCTTGTATATTGTTGAACTTTACGCATAATTTAAATATGAAGTAGTCTTAGAAATGAGTCAATTTTATCAAAAGTTTATTTCTCTGAACGAGATTAATTAAATTTATATTATTTAAATAACTTTAGATCGTATTTCTCATTTTCTTACTTTAATACTTTAATTATTCATGATTCATCGAAGCTAACAATATGTACAGCATAATTACATTTAATAAAAAAAAAATTTATCCTTAGATGATCAATTCCACTTCTCAAAACTATCAAAAGATCGCAGGAAAGAGACGATGGACACGATGGGAATATCTCGTCGACTCATCTTTCGAGCGCACATGTCTCTGTTTGTTGCACCATTCCTGAGGTACGACTGAGTAATCATTGAGACTTGCGAAAACGTAATAGGAATGTCGCTTTCGTTCGCGAACAAAAATAGTCTTCGCCAACGTCGACTCAACTTCTTAGTCCAATTTCAAATCCGTTCGACGTAATTGTCATAGCTCGCTCTTAATTCTTTGAAGTTATTTTTTCAAATTTTTAAGCTCATATTAAAACAAAGAGAGATTATTTTAATCTTTATATCGCATACACATGAATAACGTTGATTAATCATTAATAATTAAAAATGTTGTATGTCATTAAATTATATGCACATGTTTATGTAATTGTACAGTGCGTCTGGTTGTCCAATAAAGTAAAATATACATAAAAGTTATTGTTTTAGAGAGTTAGATAGAAAGCAATTTTCCATTTAATGTTTTATTAAATAAATTTTATGTAAAATTATTATATTGTAGAATATGTTGTAAAACATTTAAGTAATATAGAAACTGAGTAAATTTTGAATAAATAATAGAAAACAGAATAGTTATGAAACGTTGAGTACTATACTGATAAATAAATAATTTTTATATTGTCTACACACATATTGTAAAATTAAATATTACTAAGTGCTAATTGACCTGTTTTGTGTGTATGTGATTTCTGTTAATATTTTATTCTTTTTTTAACGATTGTTTAATCAGTAACTTTATATAATTTGATAATTTTAGGTATGAGTAAGATTATAATTTTTATATAATTATAATTTTACTCGTATAGAAGCTATATTTTTCGTGGATTAATTTTGAGTCCATATCCATTCTTGAAATGCCAACGTTTCATGAACGTTGCAGTTCACTTCAGGGCGAAGGACAGTCTGATATACTCGTCCTGATGAAGTGAACTGCAACATTCACGAAACGTTGGCACTCGAAGAATGGATATGGAATATATGGATATATAGATAATTTGCAAAACACGTAACTTCTACGTAGAAAGTAACTTACGTGGAAGCCTCAAAAGTATAATCTTATTTGTATATAAAATAGTGCTAGTGAACATTATGCACTTACATGAATAGGTAAATAATTATTACATATAATATGTGTATTATTATACACATTATGTAAATAATTCTATATACGCAGTTTTTATATTTATATTTTTTTACGCATATATTTTCTTTTACTATACTTTGTACATATATCTTAATTTTTTCTT